GAGCCATCACAAGCAACACATAGTCAAGAAAGGCATGGCCCAGAAGCGGGTCCTTTGCTATTGCTTTATTTCAAGAAAAACCTATAACTGAGAACTACAGTAGCACAAGTAAGGACAGTAGCTACTGGACACTAGATTGCCTAGCGAAACCAGACACAGCCAACATTATGGAGTTCTTCTGCAACCTGAGATAAAAGATAAACAATGGACTAACTGTTGTGACTGGCGACTTGCCGTCGGACCAGATAATAATTTTCTATTGTGACACCAGGAGGTAAGAAAATCACGATCTGTGGCGATACCAGTGGGAACTGCAAGACCAGCTCGTATTAGAAGACAGCTTCTACAGGAAGACTTTTACGATCATTGTTGCTAGCACTGGTATCTCACATAAGTCCTCCCACAAGTTTAGCTCTTAATCGGTCTGTATTCATTTTTATCGTAACCCTTACTCCCTTCCTAATTCACCCCCCCCCCCCGGGCCACCCCTTCCCCATTTACCTTGCAAAGCGTTCCTTCGATTATGTTCCCACTAATCCGCCTTAGTATCTGTATCATTTATGTCCCACTTGCACGAATCGTCAAATCGCAGTGGCGGCCGACTCTGATATCGTCTACCCATCTATACTTCACCACAATGGATGTATTGCTCCTTCTGCGTTCGCCTTTGAAAAGACTGGTCTCACGTGACATCGTGGTTTACTGCTAAACTATGATATCTGCACCTTTTGGTCCCACACATCCCAATCCAGCAAAATCTATAATAGGTCCTTTTTTCACGATTTGCTTATTAAAGAGCGGTGGGTGAGTGACGGACCTTTGACCCCACCAGGACTGCATCAACGGCAATGAATACCCGGTGACACAAGGTGCCACCATTCAGATGAGAATCCTTCGGGCACAAGACTCAGAAACCCGGCTCACCGGTTAGGTTACATAAGTGAGCGCGACGAGAGCCGGGAAAATTTGGGCGGTGAGTCTATTTCTCCTAAAATGGGGCCTAGCTCCCCTCACGGGAAGAGGATGTATTGTATGCAGAGAATATAAGCCTCACGGGGAGGCGATGCATTGTATGTAGAGAATGTAAGCCTCACGGGGAGAGGATTTATTCTATGTAGAGAATGTAACCCTCACGGGAGGAGGATGTATTGTATGTAGAGAATGTAAGCCTCACGGTTAGGCGATGCATTGTATGTAGAGAATGTAAGCCTCACGGGGAGAGGATGTATTGTATGTAGAGAATGTAAGCCTCACGGGGAGAGGATGTATTGTATGTAGAGAATGTAAGCCTCACGGGGAGAGGATGTATTGTATGTAGAGAATGTAACCCTCACGGGAAGAGCATGTATTGTATGTAGAGAATGTAAGCCTCACGGGGAGGCGATGTATTGTATGTAGAGAATGTAAGCTTCACGGGGAGGCGATGAATTGTATGTAGAGAATGTAAGCCTCACGGGGAGAGGATGTATTGTATGTAGAGAATGTAAGCCTTACGGGGAGAGGATGTATTGTATGTTGTTGTATTTACCATAAGATCTATCATAAAAGCCAGGGCTATTCAGCTCAGTTTACTCAAGGTCCAAAATGTCGAAAATGGGATCGCCACGAGCCAGAGGCCCCAACCCTTGCGTAAAACTGCCGATTACTGCCTTTATTATACGACTTTTGCGGTGTATGCAGGCAGGGCGGTGTAGGCAGGCAGGGGCGGTGTAGTTAGAGAGGGGCGGTGTAGTTAGAGAGGGGCGGTGTAGTTAGAGAGGGGCGGTGTAGTTAGAGAGGGGCGGTGTAGGCAGGCAGGGGCGGTGTAGGCAGGCAGGGGCGGTGTAGTTAGAGAGGGGCGGTTTAGTTAGAGAGGGGCGGTGTAGGCAGTCAGAGGCGGTGTAGTTAGAGAGGGGCGGTGTAGTTAGAGAGGGGCGGTGTAGGCAGGCAGGGGCGGTGTAGTTAGAGAGGGGCGGTGTAGTTAGAGAGGGGTGGTGTAGGCAGGCAGGGGCGGTGTAGGCAGGCAGTGGCGGTGTAGGCAGGCAGGTGCGATGTAGGCAGGCAGAGGCGGTGTAGGCAGGCAGGGGCGGTGTAGGCAGGCAGGGGCGGTGTAGTTAGAGAGGGGCGGTGTAGGCAGGCAGGGGCCGTGTAGGCAGGCAGGTGCGGTGTAGGCAGGCAGGAGCGGTGTAGGCAGGCAGGGGCGGTGTAGGCAGGCAGGGCGGTGTAGGCAGGCAGGGGCGGTGTAGGCAGACAGGGGCGGTGTAGGCAGGCAGGGGCGGTGTAGGCAGACAGGGGCGGTGTAGGCAGACAGGGGCGGTGTAGGCAGGCAGGTGCGGTGTAGGCAGGCAGGTTCGGTGTAGGCAGGCAGGGGCGGTGTAGGCAGGCAGGTGCGGTGTAGTTAGAGAGGGGCGGTGTAGGCAGACAGGGGCGGTGTAGTTAGAGAGGGGCGGTGTAGGCAGGGAGGGGCGCGGGAGGGCGGTTTTTGAGCCTGAGGATGTACTGCCATATGGCTAGTGCTGTC